TTGAGTGATGGGATTATGAATCTGGACTACACCCACAGCGTTCAGGATTCCATCGTTGAGTGACAGCACCCTGAAGAAATCCTAAGTAAACCAAGAATCCAGTGGCCCAAAGGTAACAGTAAGGCTGTTTGGACAAATCTTGACAAAGAGCTTTCTTTTATCCTTAATAACAATCTTAAGGGTTCGATAGGGCAACAGATCAGTTCCTTTTGTAGAATAATATACGACATTTGTTTTGAATGGTTTGGACCAGTATTGGAAAAGAAAGATAAAAAAGAGGAAAAACGACCAAATCGACGACAAATCCAGAAAGGAAAGTTACGGTCAGAACAAAGATTACTGAAGCGCCGTTTTAAAGAAGCTCCAAATCATGAGAGGGCATGCCTTCAAGAACTCATGAACAATATCAGAAGATTCTAGTGATATCCAGAGCTGAAAATCAAAGGAAGCGTCGGAAGAAAAAGCGGCAGTCTCGGAGATCTTTCTTGATAAATCCGCATGCTTTTACTAAAAAACTCTTCGTGGAAGCAAAGAGCGGCAAGCTTGATATCCCACAGGAGGAGTTGGAGAATCACTTGAAGATGATGTATTCAGATAATATGCGTGATATACCAATCCCTCTTATAAAAGATTTACCAAGACCTCAAGATCCAACAGTTATGTTTGATGATAGTGGTTTAAAATTAAGTCAAGTCCGAGATTTTGTCCGAAAGGCACGTGCTGGTAGTGCCCCTGGAATGAATGGGATATCATATAAACTATATAAAAACTGCCCATGCGTTCTTAGGAAACTTACTGTCCTCCTTCAGCGGGTTTGGAAGCAGAATATTGTACCACAAGAATGGTGTTTGGCTGATGGGATTTGGATACCTAAAGAGATGGATTCAAAAGGCATTTCCAATTTTCGCCCCATATCCCTCCTTAATGTAGAAGGAAAAATATTTTTTGGAGTCCTCGCTTGTCGCATGACAGATTTTCTTATAGGAAATGATTACATCAACACATCTGTCCAGAAGGCTGGGATATCTGGCTTCCCTGGTTGTTTGGAGCATGCACAAATGATATGGAACTCCATACTATCAGCCAAAAGAAAAAAAAACAGAACTCCATGTATTATGGCTTGATCTTGCCAACGCATATGGGTCAGTTCCACATCAATTAATAGGAATGGCTCTTGACTTTTTCAATTTCCCTGGCAAGATTAGGGAAATCATAATGAAGTATTTCGACTCAGCTTTCATGAAATTCACCGTTAAAAATTATACTACCAAGTGGCAACCACTTGAGATCGGTATCATGATGGGCCGTGTGATTTCCCCGCTTCTTTTCGTTTTGGCCGAGGCGCATCAACCACAGCCAAAGGAGTGATGACTGAAGAACAGCTAGTCCTTCCTCCTTCTAGGTCTTTTATGGATGATATCACAATTCCCGTCTCTTCTAAAATTGCTGCCAATAACCTGTTAGAAAAGTACCACGATCTTTTCATATGGGCGAGAATGAAGGTAAAGCCCAAGAAAAGTTGAAGCCTGTCATTAGTTAGGGGATCTGTTAAGGAGATTCACTTCAAAATTGGTGATGACACGATACCAACAGTTAAGGAAATGCCAGTAAAGAGCCTTGGACGGCTGTATACAATCCCACTGACTGATCAACATCGGGGTACGGAGGTTCATAAATCAACTCTAAAGGGACTAATTTCGATCGATAGAACCTATCTGCCTGGCAAAATGAAGGCATGGTGCTATCAACATGGTCTATTACCCCGCCTTTTGTGGCCTCTGCAAATGTATGAAATTGCATTATCTCGTATTGAGCACATTGAGTGATCAATAAGTACTTGCGTAAGTGGCTTGGAGTTCCTCCTTGTTTTTCGAAAGTGGGGCTATATACCAACTCCGGACATCTACAGCTACCTATGCATTCATTGGTGGAGGAATTCAAGGTTGGGAAGGTACGCCTTCATACGATGATGAGAGACTCAGCTGCTGATTGCATACGGAAGGTGCATCCAGAGATTAAATCTGGTACAAAGTGGTCAGCTGCAGAGGCCACACAAGAAGCAGAAACCAGCCTGCGAGTCAGAGGTATTATGGGTGTGATTCAGAATAATCGGGCTGGATTGGGTAACACGACACACAAATACTTCTCCAAGGAGAATGCAAAGGGAAAAAGGCGTATGGTAGTTGAAGAAATCAAAATGTTCGAAGAGAAGCATAGAATAGCTACTGCTATTACTCAAGCGAAACAGTGTAAGTGGACAACATGGAATGATATCAAACCCATTAAACTTTCGTGGAATTCATTAATTGCGATGGAACCATTGGCGATATCTTTCCTTCTTCGATCTACCTACAATCTTCTCCCAAATGAAACCAACCTGAAAATGTGGGGATACACAGATACAGATCTCTGTTTTCCGTGTCAAAAAGACCGAGGTACCTTGTGTCATGTGCTTTCTGCTTGTCCACATTCGCTCCATATGTACACGTGGCAACACAACAAGGTATTAGAGGTGATAAGGGATCTAATAAGAACACAATGTGAGACAGCAAATCAACAGCTTGTGGCATCCAAGGAAACTAAGATTGAATTCCATAAGGAAGGGGAATGCCCTGCAAAGAAAAAACAAACAACCCCCAATATAAAGCTGCTGAGTGGTGCCAGTGATTGGAAGGTTTCAGTGGATCTAATGATATCCTTGAAATTTCCAATACACATTGCACAGACAGACAAGTGTCCCGACATTGTGTTGTGGTCCGACTCTAAAAAGACTGTCTTCCTAATAGAACTAACAGTCCCTTGGGAAGAGAACAGGGTGGAGGCGCACGAACTAAAGAAAAACTGGCACGAGTCACTGCGTGCCGAGTGTATGGAAAATGGTTGGACGTGTCACATGATGCCTATTGAGATTGGGTGTCGTGGATTTCTGGGACATTCGGATCATTTCCTTCCTTTCAAAAATAGGCATCACTGGCCGTTGGTTGAAAAGCATTTCGCATAGCCTTCGAAAAACTGTTCAACACGCTTCAAGTTGGATTTGGTCGAGATCAAAACAAGCAAATAGAATGCGCACAACATCATGACCTAACATGTGCAAGTGAGATATTTGCGTGGTCGTCTATAACGACTTTTACGAGCGCGTCAATAACAGCAAACGCGTTCAAGAAACTTTCATTGCAGATAGATTTTACTTAAAGGAACAATTAGTTAGCTTATCTTCATACCCTGCCTGGTGGCAAACGCTGCTGGTGGTGGTCCCGCCATAGCCACTGAAACCGTGAGATCATCCCTGGTCGGTGGCTGATGAAGACAGGGTATTGCACATGCTAACACATGTTGTATGTTAAAAATATATATATATATATATATATATTATATACACACACACACACACGGTAGCAATATGTATGTCTGAATCATTTATCTATACTTATTCATTGAAAAGTAGTTCTTGAATCTAAATTCAGGATTGTTCCATGGACCAATGGACTAGAGTAGGTACCTCCACTTTTTCATTGAAAAAAAAAAAAAAAAAAAAAAAAAAAAAGGACCAAAAATTAATGAAAACAAACTTTTATCATCAAAATGTATATGTTATTATTAAGAGGAAAGACCAAAGTATTTTTTTATTAAATTTTTTAATCCTTTCTAGCATGTTTGAAATTTTGGTTAAAAATTTTTTTTTTTTGTGTCAGCAGTTGACATAATATTAAAATTATTGTTTTAGTGACATTTTTTAGGTTAAAAACACATTTATTTGAAAATTCTCAAATAATTGTTGGATTTTAATGAAACTTTCAGGACTTATTCACAAACGAAATTATTTTTTAATTTCTTTTTTCCTTAAGAAAATCTGGGTAAAAAAAAAATATATATTTTTTTTTTTTTTACATATTGCCTTCAGAAAATAATGAATTTTTACAAGAATTTTTAACATATTTTTTTAATTTTAAAAATAATAATTCATAATATATATATCTTTTAAAATTCTGCATTACTTTCATCCGGTTAGATGATATTGTTATTAAGTGAAAACTATATTTACTAATCAAAAATTGAAAAGCTTAACAAAAATTATTTTGAATAAAGATTTTTAATTTTTTTTTTTTTTTTTTTATGTATTTAAATATTACGTAACATGCCCATTTTTGAAAGTATTGTTGACCATACATGACATTATCAGAAAATAAGAACGATGACTCTAGTAAATTTAAAGTCAACATTCCTAAAATTAAATTACAGAAAATATTTTCCAACATTTTAAGATTAATGAGTACTTAAAAATTATATAAAATAAAGGGGGCTCATGTCATTTTCTTAAATTATGTTTTACAGATAAATTCTCTGTAGAACAACAATCATTATGTAATCACTTGTCAAAGCCTTGTCAATTACATAAAACATGGCAATGTCAGTTAAAAAACACAGCTACTGTTTTGTTTTAAAAATACATTTTAGTGTTATTTAAACTTAAAGTAAATAATATTTTTTTCAAATCACATACTTTAAATCAGCCAATATTCCTCAAATAAAATTTCAGAAAGGTATATTTTATTTTTGGAAGATTACATTGCAATGCAAGACGACTAAAAATGGGTGCTAATCAGCTACTTTAGAAAGAAATTTTTAATAAATCCATTAGAATCAATATAATTCCTGTTTAAAATAACCCAGCAGAGTATTTTGCTTACTGGAAATAATAAATTTAATCCTTTAGCTTTCAATTAAAGCTAAAATGAAAGCTTCAAGAAATCTTTCATTTATAAAAATTCATTTTAAACCAAGGTATTGAAAATTAGTAGGGGTACCTAGTAGGTTTTTTTTTTTTTTAAGCATTGCTTAGTGAATTTAGTGATCATAGTACAGATATACTGACTCAGTAGAAACAGGATCTGTAGTAACTAAACAATTAATAATCCCTGCACAAGCAGCAGAAATGAAAACAATCTACTCTCATAGATTAAATAAATAAATTCAATTCAAAATTTCCTGGAATTTACCTGGATTGATAGACACCTGATACGATGTGAGCAAAACAACAAAGATGACAATATTAGTTCAACACTTATTTCAAAATAAGTAATCGACCCAGAAATTCAGCTTTGGTGTTCAATAAGCATCTGTAAAAGAAAATAACTCATAAATTAAGCAAATATGATTGGGAATAGGTAGGTATCTTCAATAATTTATTATCAAAATGTTTGTTATTATTAAGAGGAAAGAACAAATTATTTAAATTTTTTTTTTTTTAATCTTTTCTAGCATGTTCGAAATTTTGGCTAAAAATCTTTTTTTTTTTTTTTTTCTAAGTCAGCAGTCATGTAATATTTACCATTAGTTTATTAACACCTTTTTTTTTCAGTTTTGAAAAAAACATTAATTTGGAAATTCTTGCAAAAAATCAAATAATTGCCGGATTTTAGTGTAACTTTCAGAACTTATTCACAAATGAATGAAATTATTTTAGAAATGCTTGTTTTTTTAGTCATGGTAATTTTTTTTTTTTTTTTTACATCTGTTACCCCACCCCATACTTAATTTTATGAAACCTCAAAAATTCAACTGTGTAATTTTGTGATTATATTAATTAGTTAAAAGCAGAAGACTGAAAAGTATAAATCAATTTTTTTTTTGTAAATCGAAACCTAGTTTTACCCAAAATTCAGCTCTGAATTGTAAAATACAAAACCCAATAAAACTAATAAGACATTAAAAAAACTTTTAATGGCTTTTGTTTTATGAATAATAAAAGTCAAAATATTTTTTTTCAATTTTAAAAAATGTGATAAAGTTGTTAAATATTTTAAAATTAAGTTTGAGTCCGATCTATTTTTACAGATCATAAATTTGAAAGCTTATTACAATCTGTGATACGATAATATTTTTAAAATATATATGCAAAAATATTAATATGCGAAAAATGTATTACGAAATTGCTTTCCTTCTGGCTCTCTAGCCTGTACCTAATTCTCTGACCATCATCGTCACATTTCAAAATTCTTAATTTTCTTTTTTACATCCTATTTCACTAAATATTTTAATTTCATTTTTTAAATATAATTTATTTTTTCAGTGAGAGACATACTGCATTTATTAACTATTTTCTTAGATTCAATTATTACTAGGGACGGAAACAGTGCAGGCTTCGTTAAAAAAAAAAAAAAAAAAAAAAATCAATGAAATATTAGGCTTAAAGTATTTAATTTTTTAAAAATTAAATTATAGTTAAATAAGCTAAAAAAATGCAAAAATACTGTCAGTTCTATCCTTCTGTTTGATAAATTGCCCTGACATTAGTTGTCGATACATTGACGTAAAACGTAGGTACCTCGAAAAAAAATTTGCTAAAAAAGACCATCGTTATTTTCAAGTTAGAATGTTCTAAAAAGGAAATTTTTTTAAAAATAATTAAAAAGGTCTTTGTTCTTTCCTCTCAATAATAAACATTTTGACGATGAAATTTTGTTTTCATAAAGTTTGGCATCTTTTTCATTTTCATCATGCTATTTTTTTTAGCGATTTCATGGAGGTACCTATAAAAATATAATCAAAAAATGCTTTCGTCTTTCCTCTTGCTTAATAATAACAAACATTTTTAGACGATTAAAAAAAAAATTGTTTATCAAGTTTAGGGCCTCTTTCCCATGCTCCTTTTTTTAACGAAGCAGCGAAGAGAATTCGTCAAAAAAAAAATTAAAAACAACAACAGCATACTGTGATGAAAAAATACTCCAAACTTGATAAAAAACATTGTTTGTTAAAAAAAGGATTGATCAAAGTATTTTTTTGATTATTTTTTTTATAAAATCGAAACACCCCGTTACCGAAAATCAGGTCTGAATTGTAAAAGTAAGATATTATTTAATTAAAAATGCTTTTAATGATTTTTTTTTTTTTACAAGAATTTTCTTTTTCAATTTTAAATACAAAATGTGATAAAGTTGTTAAATCTTTTAAAATTAAGTTTCAATCTGTTCCGTTTAGGAGATGCTGTTATTAATTCTTTACAGATCATGAATTTGAGAGCTACGAAACACCCGAATTTTACAGTTTTTGAGTCTGCAGAAAACTTTTTTCCCCAAATATATGGATGGTCATAAACAACATTTCCTAATAACTATATAGGTACCCCTCTCTCATTTTTATGAAATGTTATTTTTTTTTAATGTGTTATTTGTTTTCTAAAGTCCGGCCATGCTCAGAATATGAAACCAAGTAAAACTTCTTAAGGGAGGTAATTCAGTATTTTCAGACATCCGAAAAAATTAAATATGTAGTTAAAATACTACAATAGTTTTAAACTTTTAAACTAAAGTAACATTTGAAAATAAGCCTAAAATTTTTAAAAAATGTGAATCAATGATTTTTTTTTTTTTTTTAAATCGTTTCTTTTGCTTTTAACTTTCCAAGAAAAAAACCTAGTTCGAGTCTTTTGTTTTTGCAACAGCATATGCTGTCAATGTCATCTAATTCTAAAAAAAAAAAAATTCTTAAAAAATATCAACAATGTGCAATTCTACAGATGAAAAACTATGCTACATTACACACTGGGACAAAAAAAAATGACGAGAACTATGTGGGGTTAAAAAGTGACGATTATAAATTTCAATATTCATATATTAAAATGATTTTAGAAGCAGTTAGTTTTAAGGTGGCAAATATTACATAAAGAACACAAACGTTTAAAAAGGATGAAAGAACAGCGTTGTTTCAGTGCATTGCGAAGTTTAAAATCAGCTGTAATTCTTCTTAAATCTTAACTTACCAAAAATATCAAACAAAATACTGATATTTAATTCAGCTTCGTAAATGTGTTGTCTACAATTTTAAGATATATTTATAACTCAAAGTTAAAACACTGATGCCTTACTTCTCACAAAATCAGATTGAATGTAACCAAATAAAAATAAAATTTCATCTTACTTGAGAATGCGAATCGCGCTTTTTTTCTACCTTCGAATATGGCGCTAATTTTTCAATTAGAGAGCCACCTGACGGCCATAAATATTAAAAAATATGGAGTTAATTCCCTTGTATGTCGTAGACTTAATAAGTGGGAAAATGACTGAATATTCAGTCAAAATGCTCTATGGTTTCAAACTTTCACTTGCTTTCTTTGTAAGAAATGAGTTCACAGGTTAGTTTTTGTGTCTAGCATGGCCCAGACATTTTTTTGATTATCTTCTCACACTTTCAAAATCATATGGTGTTGTTTATAAAAATCAAATTAAAAAAGGCAGGATTTTAAAAAAATTAAAATAACTATTTGTGGCCTTTGAACCAGAGGTTCTGACATCAATTTCTGTTTATAAAACTTGTTATAAACTAACTTGGCATGTGTTTATGAAAAAAATGGTAGTGTGCACAAATCAATTAGATTAAGTTTTGGCTTTTTGAAACAATTCACACCTTAAAATTCATCAATTTCACAAAGTTAAGAGAACAGAAGATAGAAACATTGGCCACACACTCAAATTCTTATGTGAACCAAAGTTAATATCAGTGAAGATTCATCCCTCAGATTGATAGCTATAGGTGAATCAACTGACATTTTTTTTTTACTTGATCATTAAAAACAAGGAAAAATGACTGAATATTCAGTCATTTTTGTGAAGAAATCAAATTCAATCTTAAACATATTTTATTGCTGATTTATGATCCAGAGGGCATGCATGTTTCAAAGCAATGCTGATAATGAGTTCTTAGCAAAAATTAAGCTGATTACTGCTTTTTGTGGAAATGGCTGAATATTCAGTCATTTTCTCTATGCTGACCAAAGGATTGACTAAGCATTTTTTCATATGTGATTTGCTTTGATTAGTATTACATTCTAGCTAATATTTTAGACAGCTGGACTACGAAAATACAGGTTGCAATTATCTTCACTCTCCACATAATAAACACAAAATATACTTGGACCTAATCTACAAGTATCAACAAAAGCAGTAAATGACTCGAGAGTCAGTTTTTGGTAATTTGGCCTCTTGTCTTCACCAGCCATGGACTTTTTGGGAAGCCTTTTCAGATGTTCATTGTAGCAGTTCCCCTTGCTAGGTTTGCAGAGTGGGACCTCACATATATCACATTTGAATGTCATGGATATCTTTTTGTTCAAGTGAACCATGACAACACATGTAGCACCTCCTTGAGGTGCTTATCTTTACCAAGGAATGCAGTGATGTTTAGCAAGTTTCTGGTTTCAACAATGCTACATGTGGTGGAGCAATAAAAGGTGAATTGTCTGTACATGTGCTTGTAGACATCATAGACATGTGAGGTGAACTCAGGCAAATCAATATTGAAGTGACACAGCACGTGTTATTGGCAAGAATGAGGCAAATGAGAGATTTCGGTTTCTTGCCTGAGACCGAGGAAGGATAAAAAGAGTTGACTTTTTTGTTTCAGGGCAGTTTGTTCTTTGAGACTGGTTAGGTTATACCCATGTTCCAGAGAAAGAGCAATAGTACTGTTGTTCTGGTTTCCACATTAGCTGTCAGCAGGAACAGATTTGAGTGGAAATTTATTTTTTCTACCATGCAATTTTCATTTAAATCACACACTACATGACTTGTAAGAAGCAAGAGCAGTTGTGGCAGCCATCTTGAACTAGCAATGTGGCAACGAGGAGTCTGAGAAACACTTCATTGCCAGATATTCATTGGTAAAGCAGAATCCCAAGATACCAGCAAACTTTCTGCATCTCAGGTTTTTTGTATGTCAGACATCCTCAAGTGCACAGCTACCTGATCTAAAATGTTTGTGTACATCTATTGCAGTGACATTCTTCAGGTAAAGTCCTGCATTTGACACTGCACTAGTCCATGGTGTTTTGCTCTGGGAATTTCTGGAATTGAAGTTGAGCAGGTTGATATGAAATTTTTTGTCTGTAAGTCCACAAACCTCACAGCTTGCAGATTAATACCACCATCTATTACAGCAGTGGAAGACTGGCACTCTCCCCTCTTCAAATGAGCTTCTCCCAAAAGTGCATGCGAGAAATACTTATTCTCTAGTTGAATAAATAGTTGACTAGTTGAATAAAATATCTCGAGATAATTTATTCAACTAGTTTTTCTTTATATTTAATAAACTTGTTCTTACAGTTATCAACAGTGTTGTGCATTTTATTGAAGAAGTTTTTTTTTTATTCCAGCTTTATCCCAAATGTGGTCCTTGGATGCAAAGAGACAAAAGTTACCATAGCCGTAAGTTGAGAATTATTCTTAACTATGGTACACAATGTACATAGAGTGGTCTAAACTAAACTTTACTGTCAATCCTAATATTTTGGAACATTAATCAACCCTACTGAGGCAACGCACCAGCCTCAACAGAGAAAGGGAAGACCTGTAAAGTCAGTATTACTCAAAAAAGGTAGTGAATGAGAAGAACACAGAGAGAAGAGACAGAGACGTGAGGGAAAGTGTGGTGTGTGAGTGATATATGTGTGTGGATTGTACTGCATTTTAACATTTTGCTAAAAGTTTAAGACATTGCCTTTGAAAACTTTTCCTATCAATGCAAAATATTGACAAAATTCATTACTTTTAATACAAAGAAAATAAATTATAACAGATTTTAAATTTTGTCTTAATTCTTTGTTGGTATTGTGACATACCTACAATTTTATTAACCATATAGACGTAAGGGAAAAAACAACACCAAAGAAAAATCCCAAATTCTAATTGAAAATTAGATATAAAAAAAATAGATAAAATACAATGCTTTCAACTTGTGATCAGCCATACTCCCCTCTTCTCTTCCAAATTCTTTCCCTCTTTACCTTCTCTGCCAACCCACAAGCCAAGGGCCCATGAAATTTGAAGCAACCCGACCCGTGAATGACCTGGTTCCAAAATCCCGAGTCCATATGTGAATTCTTGAAACGATCGGACTCTCCTGCTGCAATTCATGTGATCAGACCCTACTGAGGGTTGGTTGAATTTTTGGCCCTCACACATACACTGTGTGATTTTCACCCCATCCTCCTGCATACCCAGTCAAGGATGAAGAGAACCCATGTGACTATCTTTGGAGACAGGAAAAATTCTAAAAAAGGATTTTCAGTTTCCGTCTGACCAGTGGCAGATGAACATCACAAGGCAAATCATCCCAATTCCAAATGGACTGCCCACTGAAATGAAGAAGACAGCAAAGTCAGTTGACTAGAGAACAAAAGGACTGCTATGAAACTGAATCAAGCAACGAAACGCCTGTACGAGATGCTGCGGACCCTGATGATTTCTGAAAGAAAAGGAACCCAGGAAAAATTGCCATCTGACCAAAATATTGTTTTAGCATAAGAACTCTTGCTTCGGCGAATTAGAAATCTGTGTGGAGATATCAACTTGACAGATAAGTTGATTTCTTGGCTTGATCTCTTATGTATATGTATGTATTCGCTCATACCTTCTGTTCTTTCATGATCCCCTTCCTCTTTGGTTAAATGAATTTTGTTTTCTTTCTTTACCTGTTTATGTATTTATAAATAAATGTTTTATTTTGAAATCCATCATCTTGCGTCTTCTTCGTTGACTCCCTTGTGTTGCTTCCATTCCTGAGTGAAGACCGAGAAAAGATTCAACATTTTCCTTTTATTTAACAGTATCTACAAGGAATATGACAAATGTAAAATTGTTTGATTATGTTTTAAAGGTCTGTTGCATTTACATTATTGATACTTAGCTTCAACTTTAAGCAATTGAGAAAAAAATGATTAATAAATCAATAATAGCCCTCTAGCAAAAAAAAAAAAAAAAAAAAAAAAATCAATGATGGCGTTGAGAATACATTTTCATCAATTTTACAAGAAAACTAATTACAAAAATATAGTTGCATGTCCTGTGAAAAAAGTTGAAATGTAAGTTCTATAGCCTAATGATGTATAAAAAAAAAACACTCAACATATTTATTACTCAAAATAATTTCCTTTGTCAATGTACATAACCCAATGCTTATCCATCTGTATTAATATCAACTGAACATCACATTGTATGTATAATAATATAGTGCAAATTTCAGATCTACATTCAGCTAAAAGAAACAAACACCTCAGCAATTGAACTACAAGTAAAATACTGTAGAAATAAAATGCCTTTTCTTCTTAGCATTAGTAAATAAATTGCATTCAGGATAGTCTAAAAATATTTATATGAAATACTTCTTTTTTCCAATTTTTTCAAAGCTTCTTACAAGAAATTATTATTTCAGCCTTATGTTATAATGAGCATTTTGTTGCAAAGGAAAGGAATAATCAAAGATTTAATTTTCAACAGTGTGTATTCATCAAATATACATAATGTATATTTAGTTGTTAGAAATTTGGCAAAAATTGTTCATATATGGTTTCTTGGAAAAGGAAAGCAATTAGGAGTAAGGGGTTTTTGGTCGGGCTGGGAGTTGACTGATTTCTTGGGTTTGTTAACCAAGGCCAAAATTGTGGTCAGAGGATAGGTCCAGAGTGGTTTAACCATTGGTGGGGTTTGATGCACACCTTTCTTTAAGGTTGAAATCGACACCTGTGATGGTGTTGATGGGATGGTTGGTTTGTGATGCTGAGATGTTGAAGCTAAACTACCTGGTAAGGTGGGTTGGTCGATTGAGGTCACGGTGGTCGGTTGATTCATGGTAAGGTATGTTTGTTGACAGGGTTAGGATGGTAGCAACAAGGAATTAGGTAATAAATAGTGAATGTTGATTGAGCAGAAGGTCTCTATGGATTCTGGTATCAATGAGGAGAAGTCATGGTGACAATGACAAAGGAAACCTGGAGTAGATAGTTAAGGCTGGTTGATTGAACAGAATGTCTGTTAGATCCTGGTCAAATGTAGTATCAAAGAGATGGGGTCACAGTGGTCATGGCAAGGGAGGCCTGGAATAAATAATTAAGGCATTGAGGGGTGGTAATGGTGATTGATGGTGACAGTTTGCAGAAAGGTGGCCTTTTGGTCTGCATCTGTGTTGGCTGTTACAAGGGTCTTTCTTTTAAGCAAATCTGGTAATCCCCAGGGTTATCTTTTTCTGGCGGGAACATTTGTGATTGGCTATTGTATTAATTTTCTTGTGGGGATTTGTTTTGTGGACTGGATGTGATTCTCAGAGCCCATGCACAACATTTTTTATTTTGTTTTGCTTTCTTAGTGCTCATATCTGGCCAACATGTAGAGTGAATCAGATAGAGATCTAATTGCAATGTAGTATAATACCAATCAATGCAATAAAGCCACTAAGATGCAAGGGCTTACTGACTGTGAGAATATGAGAAAAAAAACACTACAAAAGAGAGTGAACAATAAAAGAATATGAATTAAAAAGATAATGATTGACATTACATTTAAATATTTGAAGATTAAAGTTGATTGGGAAGCAAGAAGCTAAAAGAGTTCTACAAGTGAGAAGTGTAAGAGAAGAAACTGTTAGCATAGAACTTATGGTTTCATCTAGCCAATTCAACTGTAAGATGAAGGGACCTTGCATCCAATCTTGTAGTGTGCTTAAATTCATAAAGTCTAGGAACCATAGAGAAAAGTTCATCAGAACAATTACCATCAAAGTATTTATCAAAAATTAATTCAAAAATACAATAACCTTCCAACTTAAGAAGGCCAGCATGTCAAATGCTTTTGAGATATCTAAAGCAACAGCTTAAGCTTCATCATTCTTACTTAAAGCTTGATAGACTCTTTCAGCAATAGTTACTACATCAACAGTTGACCAAGAGATGTAAAAGCCATATTACTTATCTGAAAAAAAAAAAAAAAAATTCTGCAAGGTGATATACTTAACCAATTTTCAGCTTGATAGACAAAAATAAATATACTGTTTAATAAATAGAGTATCTACTCAAATACAAATTTTTAGTGGATACCACTAAAAATAACATTTAAAGTGATAAAATATATATGTTTGTGCCTGTGTGTGTTTGCAGTGGCCCTGACAGATTCCTATTAGTGTAAAAAATATTATTTGGTGACTTGAGGTACTGAGAAATCCTGAGCAAAA